TTATAGTATTCACTGCTATGCAACCGTCAACCCAAGTGACTTCAAACGATTTTGATCTGTTTACTACTCTAGCTGTGGATTTATTATTAATTATTATCGTTCAGACGGTTGATTGCGTTAAGAAGCCTGCACAATTGACAGCAGTATTGCTGTAATAAATTCCCATTACAATAACAATTAAACTGGGTCGAAAATTTGAAAAAAAAAAAAAATACCCCATCATAGTAAAAGGATCCATGCCTAGAAGAATATATAACTAAAATATTAGCATTAATCATTTTAAATTAGGACAGTTATAACATTTGTATACATTATAAAACTGAAAAAATAATATACCTATATAGATAGGTAGGTTCCTATTTGATTAATTGTATTCCTATAGGTACCTACAACAATATAATATACCTACCTACCATTTATTTAAATTATTTACTACCTACCTATGTTAAAGTTCACAATGTTACTTTTCTATGGATTGTTACAAAACTACCTACCTGCTTAGTTACACGATCATACCGTGTAAAATTCGTAATAATTATTCACTTTAAACAAAGCTTGCATATTTTAGTTGAGTTACACAATATTATTTCCTAAATCATCTCCGCGTCGTGACGTTCTCCGCATTTTGTCCGCTTAGCGGTGTGTGCGGTCCGACCGCCGTCGAGCGAGAGCCGCCAATAAAGTATCAATAACGTTTGAGTGTACGGATATTATTATCCCGCGAGACGGCGGCTATATTTTTATTATTTTTTTTTTTTTTGGTATGTATCGCAACGTCGTATTACGATAATTTCGTTCGTAAACCGCTGAAAATATACGAATTGAAAACGTGAAACGTTCAAAAACCGTCCGACGAAAACAAGCCAGTAGGTATTATAGGCATCAGTGACGTAATTAGGAATTTGCTCAAAGGGAGATGGGATATAATTTCTAAAATTCCGTTATTTCGCCTCCACCCTCCCCCCACCCACCAGTAAGAGTGGGTTCGTCTACAAGAATCGCGAAAAGTTAAATTTTTTAACTCTAAATAACGTGTTGAATGTATAAACTAAAATGGCCGTTTGTATTGGAATTTTAATCCACGTTTTCTGAGTTATTATAGTAAATTAAAACAATGTAACCTAAATAAAATATTTATTTCAACAAATATTGCACTTTTACAGGCCATATGAACTTGGTTAAAATTTTAATAGCATACCTACATATTTATAAAACAAAGAAAAAAAAGGCTCTGGGCAGATCTATACCCCATATCTACCCTTGTCCGCCTGTTATTACACCACTTATTAGGTACCTTTCTAAATATAAAATAAGGCCGGGAATATTAAAACAGTTTTGTTGGTATATAGCGATTCGTAAGTTATTTACGATACAATCGAATTATAAAACAATACAAAACCACAGCTATATTTTAAACAGACCGCGCGGCGTCCCAGTAGAGCCCGAGATCAGCGGTGGTTGCAAGTTTTCCGCGGGCCGTCGATCGATGACTCTAATGTCGAACAGATTATATTGTTACCGGGGTTAAGTATGCATACCAATTTTCGGCTCTCCGGAATCGTGAGAAGTGAAAAGAAGGCCAACCACCGCCGGAATTAAAGATAAATATTAACGGATTGTGTTCCCGAGTAGAATATCAGCTGTACAACCACCTCGTCTAAAATATTATAAGTATCTAATAAGAATACCAAGAGTGGCGGCAGAAATAGAATCAACCTAGTCTAAATATTACGAACGCTATTCAAGGAATGGTTTGACAAATCGCATTACCTCATTATTTCGTTTGCTATACATGCACAGTACTATTACAAGAACTATTGTTATTGTGCTGTATATTCAAAATATGTTATCATCGTTATTTGTATAAAACGATTACCTACAGTGAAAACTATAAATAAAAAGCTCAATTCTTAAAATCAACCTTTTAAAGTCAAATTATACAATAATATTCTGCGCTAATATTCTGCAACATAAGGTAAGAAATCTCGATCTAGGACAAATGGACATGGCCGTTTGAACGTTGGGACGATTGAACGTCATAAAAAAATAAATATACGTCGTGATTGTCGTAAAATGTTTTTTTTTTTTTTTCTAATTCTCGTCATTCGTTTTTCACCAATGGTGAATTTATTGGTTACAATTTATTTTTTATCACAAACAAATGTTGTACACTGCATCAAACACTATTAAAAAATTCAATAAGTAGAAAAAAAATTGTGAGAGTTATAAGAGGCTATTAAAATTTTTGAGGGGATTAGCCCTTAAAGCCCCCCACCAATTTGCGCCTATGATACAATATAATACCTACACTGTGTAATAAATATTATAAGTAATTTATAGTACAAGATAACAATTGAATTTCAAACATTAAAATTTTCAATCTCTTGAAAAAGAAAATTCAAGCAGTTTTTATATAATTTTTGGTGTATTATGCTCGCCGTTTTAACCTAGTTATTGTAGATGTTATTATTACAGCTGTTAAAAACACTCATGATTTATGTGGATTTTTCGAACTTAAAAAAATCAAGTATGTATTTATATCTACTCATATTTTGTATGTAATGAATTTCGGTGAAAATGGAACCCTGGTTGTATAAACGCTAGATGTAAGACGGTAATTGAAAATAAATTTCTAGGATATTCAATTTTTTTTTGCTGATTTAATTTGCTAACATTTTTTATTTATGTTAAGAAAATTGGGCCCAGATACCTGTATTTGATGAATGAGTCCTGATACCTAAGTTAGTAAAACTAGGTTGGTTTTACAATCGTTTTAAGAGTTCTACGCCATATATTTAAAATATAATAAAAATAATAATTTCAGCAATACTCGTTCAGAAAGTTCGCATAATACTATTACCAATACAATATTATTAAACGAGTAAATAAAGTACTTGCAAGGTATTAAATTGATAATTTCTAAATTCATTTAGCAATTCGTAATGTTTATAGTATAGATTAACATTATTATTATATTGACGTTTTAGGGTTTGTAGCGCCGTTCAATCCTCCGGAGAACGCGTTGTACAAAAAGTTTCGGATGCGGAAGAGCGTTGAACGGCAATACTCGTTTAATTAAAAAATATTATGATAATACAAATTATAATAATAATAATAATAATAATAACGCCGTTGAGCAACGTCTTCACGATAAAAACCGCCGTTTCGAGAAAAAAAAAATCTTATCATAAAATATTTGGAAAATGGTCGTTTCTGAAACAAAATATTAATATTTAACGAAAAGCGTGGTGTTCCATCCGCCCGGTACGCCACCAGACTTGACCAAACTTCGGGACTGTCGATAGTGGATTTACAGACGAATATTCTGTTATGAGTAGAAAGATCGAATCGATTTAAGAGACAACGATTAATTTTACCAAATTTATGAAAATTAAAACATGTGTGCGCGTTCGGTTTTCAATATCTGTGCGATAAACATGTAGTTAATCCACACATTGGCCTGTCGGAAGTGGAGTTTTTTTTTTGAGTAATCGTCTCAAAATTAAAATGGTCGAGTGACCAAAAATGTTGAACTTTTTCCGATTGGCGGTGTCGTCTTCCCGCGGGCTTTTCGGACGGGGTATAGCCGTCAGGCTTTTTTGTTCGGTCCATCGATCGAACCACTTCATCACGAAACTTTGCAGAACATTTCGTCACGCGCCAATCCACTATCTATACAATATATAGCAGCCAGTATATATTTGTAATACTATTATTATAATCTCGCGTTTGGCGTTTCTAAATCGAAAACCGTCCGTCTCCAGCGGAGAAGTTTCCGCCCACATTCCTCGCCGGCCACTATTCCGAACTCGTCTCACGCGGCCGATTCTGTCACCCGAAAACGATATAAGAATCGCCGCCAGACGCTGTAGCACCGCAAACGGAACACAACGTTCCCATCGGTTAGACATTCATGCTTGTTGGCGACGTCAACTTTCTCAACAGGTACATTATCGTCCGTGACAATATTATAATCAATGTTGTCCGATTCGAATCTGACGATCGCGGTGTTTTTATTGGTTTGTCCGAAACGCACGATTCACACTAACTTTCTTGGAACAGTATCAGGTTCGGATCGACATTATGTAGGTTAGAACTACGTACCGACCGGATTATCCCGGTAACACGTGTTAACAATTGGGTGTCTACTGTAATAATACAACAGCGATAGCCAATGTAAATGTCGTATTTGGCTACAATGTTCACCGATTCTTTTGTCGCCAACCCGAAGGGACTTTTGTTATACTTACACTAGTCTCAAGGAAAATATTCATCGGTAATTCTCTTCACACGTTGCTGACGTTCTGTGTGTGTGGCGGATATTCACATCTTTTTTGTGCTCTTTTTTTTCTGTTTGTAAACCACTGTTCTACTAGAAATCTTGCTCCAATTTTCAACTGTAGCACTTTCCCGAAAGAAAATATTATCTAATTGGTTTTAGCCATACAAAACACGTGGATAAAATTGTTTTAGCCAAGAAGAAATACTTGAAAATTTAATACAAGATTCATAGTAAGTTTTGAACAATAATGTATAGACATTTTAACTATTATGCTCAATTTTTAACAGAAATCGTGTAAATCGCGGCGTTTTGAAACGCGTTTAACTAAACTTCGCTCAGAATCGACTTTCGTTAGCAACGGTTTATCGTTGTATACAGATACAAATCAGACAAACATAATATGACGTATCCTATCTTTTCAACTTTCCAACTACAACAGTGCCACATCCATTAGCATATTACATATATTAGCTCTTTTTTTATGATTTCCATCGATCGGTCGACCTTTCCCGTTGTCATCGTGCAACTTTCCAAAACATTCGTGACGCACTCGTTGCTAATTGCTATGTACGATTTATAAAATTGTCATTGTCCCGCGTTTCCATCGTGGCACCACGTCTGCCACCATACACACCGTAAAAACTTTACAATCATTTACACACGCCGCTACTACTCGATAAAAGCCAACATTTTCAGACCCGCTGACCCCGCCGATCGGATGTTTCCAATTCGCCCGGACACCGTCGAGCCCACGCTTCGTCGGAACTGGTTGTTCCGGTGTGCGGCGATCGCGGTGGCACTCGGTTACTTTGCCGATTCCTTGGACCGGAACCGACCGCGCTTGGAACCGGACGTGAACTATTTGCATTGGTCTACCGACGTGCCCGCGGTCACCGTGTGTCCGGTAACGGCGTCCGGTGCTGACAGTAACCATCGTCGTCATCCACCGAACGCTGCCGACGATAAAAGGTTTGCCTCGATATAATATTATTACGTTATGACTAGAAACTATAATATTATGTTCTTGAAATCCACAAAAAAAATCAACAAATATGTTTAAAAAAAGCATAGTAGAGAGGTGTAAAAGTTCCGCTTTAATGGCTCTAACTTGTAAAATAACATTTTCTAACACAACAAAAATGATTAATACAAAGTCATTTTTTAAAAATAAAATTGTACATATAGGACAAATTAATTTGTGTTAATCGTTTGTACAGTGATCAATAATTGTTCACAGATATAAATTTAATAACTTTATGCACCTATCCTACTTCCTTAACTTCTCACCTAATAACAGTGGCACACCTGTCCCAAGTATATCAGCTTTTTTTTATATTTGGTTTGTAAATAAATTACCACCATTGTAGCCAGGAGGTTTTTGGTGTATTATATACCACCCCCTTCCCAATTTCTTTATTTTTTTTTATCTCTAGCTAAAGTTAAGATGGCTGTAGAGCCTTAAACACTCTAGACCCTCTAATCCTCCTATTAATAAATCCCGGTCATTATAAATAACAATGCAATTATTTGATAATGTTATATTTAATTGATTATAATTATATAATTTTTTAACCTAATCCCAAAACACACAAGTAACGATCTTCACGCTACTAAAAAAGTGGATGAAATAGGTACCAAAACTCGACATAGAACAACGCCATCTCATTTCGCCGTAAAACCATTTTGACGTCACCATTCCGACGTAAGATCGTTTCGTCGTCAAAAAAAATTGATTTACATTTATATGTATTTCATTTTGAAATGGATTATTTTACAAATGTTTGACTGTTAGACATTAGTATAGAATTTGTATTTATAATATTAACGAGTAATCGTAATACAACCGTTGTTAGATTAGATCGGTACCAATTAATATTATAGTCAGTTTCAATTTTTTTCCAGATCTGCTGACGGCCTAACCACGTTCCGTTTTAGCCGTTATACGTTTTAAATGTATTTCACGACGTGATTTTGCGTGACTTTCTACACGGTATTCCGACGTTTTCTGTACATCTCCCGCGCATTATGTTGCCGATAGTCAATTGTCGATGAAACACCGAAAAAAAAACCGCCATTTATTGTATGAATGTGTGACGATATTATTATTTCTGTCATTTCCATCGTCCACCGGTGTATTGTTGTCGGTATATTACTTTCGAAACAATACGCGTGGTACGCGGTTGCTGCCGTCCCTGTCGTCCGTCTCATGAACCGTTTCCGGAGTCCTCCCTGCCGGCAGAACGGATTCTCCGAACATGTCTCGACGATGCCGGAACTGTTTGTTCCGGTGCGGTTGTGCTCGCCAATTCCGTGTCGTCGCCCGGAACCGACGGCACTGGGAACCAGACGGACGCACAATGTTTGCACTGACCTAAAATACACGCCGTCGCCGTCGCCGTCACATTTCGACTAAACTGTTGTGTGCAGTGATCGTTATAGTGCCCTACTCGAAGTGCAAGGGCGGACAGGAAAGGGGAAGACAATAGAGACGAAAACAATAATGAAATTATTTTTAGAGTAACCTTCACCCTCCCTCCCCCAAACATAAAATCGTAAAGATTCACATATTATTATCTCTACCAGTGACATATTTAAATAGATGGGGAGATAATGGAGGTGTATTTCCCACCTGGGCCTTTTCTTAATATCTATTTATTTGTTTTTATTACCTATTTGTTAAATTCAAACTTCTTTAATTTTTAGTCAGCTGAATCGAAAATGTGTCAGTTTCTAATAAATAATGATTACATCAAGAAAACCCGAACATATTTACATTTTCTTGTTTATAATAAAAAATATCCAAACATCATAAATAACATTTGGAAAAGACTAAGATTAGTAACAATAAAAAATAATAATTTTTAATACATGGTCAATTGATTGCAATGGTAATTTTTAAATTATAAATTACTAGCAAATATAAATATAATACATACATGGTAATTTACTAAGCGTGCTCATCCAATTTTTTCGGTTAAATTCTATATGTATTCAAATTCTAACTTATAGAATTTTTAAGTTTAGTTAAAGCTGATATTTTAGAATACTTAGATTTTTCAAAACACTAAAGGAGTATGCTGAGGTGATAGCAACTTTGGTTTTTAAAATGAGAACCTATATTCAAAATTCCAGAAATAGATGGAGTATTATTTCAAATAAATTTTAGTGTTAAAACTTTTGATTTTCGTTAACCCGTCAATGAGATATTTTACTTCTAAGTTTAGATAGGGGGATAGGAGGATAGGAGTGGAGCATTAATAAAATGCCACGCGTCATGCAAATGATGAAAAATCATAATTTGAATATATGCAAAATTTAACCAAAAATTTGGAGTGAGCACGTTTAATGAATCACCCTGTATATATAAATTTAAAATTAAACATTTTTTTTTTGCATAATACATAATATAGGTACACCTTATATACAATATGATACAATTTCCGAGTACAATATCATCTTCCTTAGAAATTTCTAAATACGCCACTCGACCCCCCCCCCTCCGCCCCTTAAATCGATATTAACAGCGTCACTAAAGGTTATGTGTGTTTGTTTATTTTGGTTTTTATTCCTAAGACCAGCCCAAGAAGTGGGTCTCGGGGGGGGGNGGGGGGGGGGGGGGAAGCGATAGAAACAATCGCCTTGTCCTTTTCGCTCCCAAATACACTCTGAATTATATTTTCATCGTAAACGTGTACCTTATATGAATTTTCTAAAATAGGCTCCCCCATTTTCTTACCCCCTTACTCCCGATTCAGATAGACATAGATATACAGTCAAACCATTTACGACATTTTTCGGTCGTGTCAACAAAAAAACGCGGACAACAGAGTACATTTTCGATATTAAATAATTTCCTATTCAGCATTGTATTTTTCAATACTGAGGCGGTGCCACAGTATAATAATAGGTCCACCAGTACATCTTAATGCATATTATAACCTGATACTATTTTAATATTAATGCTGCTAAACACATCGCATTCTAAAATATTTTTTCATCAACGATTCGAATATATTAGAATATTTTCTCGTACACAACATTTACATTATAACTGCGTACCTGTACTGTTTGAATTAAATTTAAACAGCATTCATAAAATAATACGAAATTACTTTTGAAATTCACCATTCGGTGTATTCAAAAAAAAAAATTTAAAAATCATTAAAATAAACATTTTGTAAAACAATATTATTTTTCCTGTACATTTTCTACGTTGTATATTATATTATCAATTATTAATTATTCCTGTATAAACACTACCTAATTTACCCTTTTCGTTGTCGATACTAAACTAAAATCGTCAAAAACAAAAACCTAAATTAATCGGCAATATTTGTTTTAAACTAGACTAATTTATACGGTTATACCGTAATACTTCACGGCCATTAAATGCACTTATTAACACCGATTCGGTAGGTAATATTAAATCCCAAGGTGTTGTATTTATTACGGTTTTATTATGCGTGTAGTTTCACTAATTGTTATTTGTTTTATATTCATATACGAGTAATTGAAGGGCACATTTACTTTTTTTTTTATATCGAATTTTTTACCCGTTAACAAATAACACAAATACACGAGCAAATTGAAATATCGTTTATTCGAAATCGATTTTACTTGTCAGCGTCATATTTTTTTAAACTTTTTAAAACACAATGACAATTACTGTAAAAGTTTATCGCAAATGACGTTATAAATGTTATAAATATCGTGTAAAAGCGTATTACACAAAGGCTTATGCAGTCTCGGTGAAACTTTCTGTCATACACATTATACGTATAAATGTCTTCAGAATTAGATATGCTTTACGAGTGTGTATACTTTAAAATATCATATTGTAAAACACAACACTCAGTATATGTTTTGTTTTTTTTCATTTGAATAAACTAGTATTATTTTCAACTTTTTCCGCGTAAACTTTTATAATGCCTTTCTCTACGGGATCCATGATGAAAGATAAATAGGTAACACGTATATAAAACGTGGATATATTATACTCTCAAAAATCTGAAATAACAACAGTATTTTAAACTATTCTTATTAGATAGTTAACTTATAAATACGAAATTATTTTCATTTGAAATTACACTTATTCCATACGTTCTCCTAGACTCGAGGACCTAGAGTTACGTATCCACACTATCATTCAGTTAACACCAATTTATAAAAACCAAAATCGTCTATTTATTACTTATGCAATTCCGCCGTTCTGATTTATCATAATAGGTATAGTGTTATTTTCGGATTTGAAATCCGAATGGTTGAATTTTCGAAAAGGCTTATTATCATTTGGCTAAATAATGGTAGTTCTCATTGAGCTCTATCCAAATACATGTAACAACGGTGGATCTAAGTTGAAAACCCTAGAACTAAAACTATATTCAAAAAAAAATTACAGATGAGGTAGGTTTTTCACAGTAATGAGATGATTTTCTGGGATTAAAAGTAGCCTATATCATTTCCTAGTCCTCGAAATATTCTTGTGCGAAAAAATCACTTCGATCGGTCGTTTTGTTTACGACCTATAATAAGGACAAATAAACACACGTTTCGCATTTATAAGTATAGATATTTTACCTTTTTGACTTATACCACTCGACTGATCAACTAAAATTTGTTTTATTTATTTTTTTTATTTTACTTTTTCCTAAAACTTTTATTTTGAAAAAGTTTACAAAATAAATGTAATTATTGAAGGCACTAGGGTAGTTTTGGTTTTGTTCTGGGATAAGGGAATAGATAATTTGTTAGGTAAACTTTGTACCCCCAACCCTGCATACAAATCTATGTTTGAGATTCTGAGTGTAGCGAAGAAGTATTAGTTTTACTAAGAAATGTTTTTTTTTTTTTATAGAAAACACTTTTTCGGTTAGTAAAAATACTTAAATGAAATATTCAGCAAAAGGTCCACTTTTTTGATAGTTTATCATATCTAAAATAGTGTAATCGATTAAATTCCATATAAAATTGAAGAGCGTTTCTGACAACTATCTAAAATCCACCAAACTTTTAGAAAATAGTTTATTCTCTTATACATTTCTTCAAAAAATGTGTAATTTTTGTAGAGTTTAAATACTTATATTCCTGATTAGTAGAAATTAAATTTGAAAAATAGTTTTTTTTTAAGTATAATCCAACAGATAGGTATTAAACAATTTAATTTTAATAGAACAAATTCGAGTTTTTAAAATTTCATTAAAAATATCTCTGTGACAAAAACGAAATAAACATTCACCCGGACCCTAATGACTTAAACTAAAAGGGGCGAGTAATTTTATTTGTGTATACGAAGGGGAACTCTTCACCAATGATAATACCTAATGTATTAGGGCATAAATACTATAATAATGAAAAAACTTTAGATAACCAAAGTTAACGATGACATTATTTACCTTTCTAAGCTAAAAAGATTTCTATGCACTCTTCCCAGTCTCTAATAATAATAAAAGAAAACCTCGAAAAAAACAATTAAATATGATTGGACTACGTCAGCTGAGGCGTAGCTGGCATGCACCAATACCTTTTTTTTATACTAATTATCCTCAAACTATATAATGTAAAATGTACTAGTTGCCCTCAACTTAATGTATCAGTTGTCCTCAAAATATTATAATACACTCGTACAACATACATGACCGCAGTACAACAATACCTGGCGTATAATAATAGGGGAGACAACAATGTGACGGCATAACGTAGTGGATACGACTATATTATGTATAAGTATTAAACAATGAAAAAAGAAAATAGTATATAATAAAGTAATATATAAAATATTTTCAACAATAAGTGATAAACATTATAGTTTATCAAAAGAAAAATAAAAATAAAAATGCATACAATAATGATGAAGAGAAGGCGAAAATAAAACTTGAGGAGATATAGATATCAACCAAATAGTCGTATGAATACTAAATTTATATCAAATTAAAAACAAAATAAACATCTACTTCACTGGAGGGTAATAATGAAAAATCGGAAATTATGTGAATCTATTTTGACAGAGATGGCGGGAAAGCCAAACTTATGCCTATTGGTTATTGAAAATTTCAAGTTTTTCTACGTAACAATATTTTTGTCTAATGGAAATTTCGTTTTTTTCTCTGTTTAGTTTACACTCGAGTGACTGAGTGAAGTTAACCGTGCTTAAAATAATACATAGCTTTTATAAGTTGGACGCAACTGGTATATTTTTTAAATGCCGAAAACAGTTATTGAGGTCAACTGGTCAACACCTGGCGTAGCTAAATATTCTAGATATAATAATATACCTTCGAATATGTTCGAAAAGACAACAAATAAAAATACAAAATGTTACTAATTTTCGGGTAAAAAAGCGAATAGATTCGGGCCTACTGGATCTGCCCGCTTTTCACGCTGCTGCACGTTAGCGATTCACGTTTACATGAAATTATCCGGTTTTTTTATCCCAAGACAATATTATGATGTTTCGACGGTGATACCAAATAAAACATCATACTTACCTAATCATAATGCCTATTAATTTGCAATCTTATTATATTTCCACTCGTTTATATTAATGTGTTAATGTTATCGGTACAAAAAAGCGAATAGTAAAACAAGTTTAAAATATCACATTACTATAATAATGCATTATTCGGGTGCCTACCTACGTGAAAATAATATTTATGGAGAATATTATAGTAATGCATATTTTTAATGTAATATTTTATAAGGGAAACGATACTATACAAAAAAAAAAAAAAAAAAAAAAACCTATCCCGTAATAACTTAGACGCGACATATAAAATAATATATTACATTTTATAACAATATAGTAGGAAATAGGAAACTATATTTTTTTTCTTTTTACCGAAACTTGTCAAACGTAAAATGGTTTTTAACCTACCCACGCCTAAAACGCATTTAGAGGGTTATCAATATGCATATACGTAAATATAATTCAGTACCGAAAACTCCCAGTTCTCCGCGTTTATATTGATATTTTCGCACGTTATTATTATTGAGTTTTGACAGATTTATATGAAATAAAAAAAAAAAACCCGGATACTTCAAAGATGCGAAGTTCAAAAACCTAACTGTTCGAAATAAAGTGATGTTCGTGTTGGGCAGTGAGACTACAATAATAGAATCCCATGTATATGATAAATTATTTTTGTCTCGTTTAGACGGTTATCACGTATATTCCTATTACCGTTCACTTAGCCACTCTGAAATCATCAGAAACCCTTAGGAGCGGAGCGAGGAATGTATTGGTTTTACAATGATGTTTATATTTTTTTTACATACTGTGTACAAAAATTAGACTAGAAATCTTGCTCCGAAGTATCAAGTGTCGCACCTCTACTGAAAGTGAATTTTTATTAGGTAATACTTTAGGGAGGTAATTTTTGATTTTCCCATGAGTTTTTCCAATAAATGGGAAAAACCGGACAAAACGTAGGAAAAACAGGATAGTAGATACAATATTAAAGAAAATATATACTGCAAATATTGGTTAATCGTTGCGTACAAATATACATTGAATTTCCCCTCTATCTTCCCACCTAAAACCCACGTGCGAAGTATGTCCGTTTTATTACTTTATTGTTATAAATAATTAGCACAAATATAATTATCACGTACTTAATCGAATGTGAATGTATAGAAATAAATATTTGATTTATTAGACTGTGAAAGAAACCGATGTTAATATTTGCAATCGATTTTATGTCCCAGCTGTTTACGGCGGACGTAAGTGATTTCGTCGGATCAACAAAAAAAAAAAATAAATGGAGACTGATTTATAACACACATATATATATATATTTCCATGGATTTAGATTATTAGCAACCCAGAGTTTATATAAAACTGTCCATTTTAATCTCTGCTAAGCGGGGGAAGAAAAGAAAAAAATTAACTCACTCGTAAATATACCACTGTACCTACATATATATATATATATATAGGTGGTAATAAATATTGTACGAGTATTGAGTAACACGATGCATTAAATTTTCAAGTCCGGATATCCAAAACTATAAAATATACCTATATACCAACTAAAACCCAATAGCGAAGTCAAACACACCAGATACCTATACATTTCTTACCTTATGGTCGGATCGCCGAGTTTGGCGGGCCACCGGGCTGCAAGCTCCCAGTAACTTATTTTGATTTTATAATCATTGCGTTCGAAAATCATATCTCAGTGATGGAGTTTTGAATTAGGTATATGTATAAACGAATTAATAATTTCCAACATCTAATTTCGAAAATCATTCAGCTACTTATTTACTAGAAAAATAGAAAAATAGGAAATGAAAATAAAAGCTGTCTTATATAATTAAACCGTAAAAAGTTTTTAAAAATGGAATGAAATTTTTGAAGAAAAAAACCCCAGTTTATACGATTCATCATAAAGCACGGCCGATTTTCGCTATACTATAATTTAGCGCTAATCAGTTATCGTCAATATAATGTAAAACATTTTTTTTTTAAATTTAATTAAGTATGCGAGCATTGTGCATTTTATTATTATGTACCTATTAAAAGTGTTAAATCGGAAGGTGAATAAATTATTATGTTCACATGGTCACGATTTTTGATTTTGTTTGCCGCAATATTTTAAAAATTGATTTAATTATTTAAATAAAACAATTACAAATCCTACCGTGTGCGATTAATAACTAACCTATTGGATAGCACTGGTTCACCGAAAAGTGGTTATTTAAAACCTAACTAGGTAAATAACACAGGTGTTTCTGTATGTAATGAATTTAATTGTAGCTTTTTTTGCAAACAAACAATTTTCGTTTTTAAATTTGACTCTTAATTGTGTGTATAACATCGATCGGAACAGTATTTTTCACACACGCGTTGTAATAATAATATAATTCTCACAAGCCTAGCGTATGTATCCGTTTTCATTAACCCATCTACTTATCCGGTTACTTCTTATTCATATATGCATACTGATAACTATGTGTAGTTTATTCGGTTAAAAATACGAAAATCGAAAATCCGATAGTTAATATCGAAACCCGGATAAATATAGTTACCAACGAACAAAAAAAATAATAAATATTGTTAAATGAATATGATAATAAATTAAACGGATAAGTTACACGTGAAAGAAATTACCTAACAACAAAATGTATAATGTCCGAGTATACAATATGGTGTTTTTTCAGATATTTTCAAACAATATTTTGTTTTTATAATTTGTTCTTTATCTCTAAAATTTCTTGAGATTACATCTATTTCAAATTTATTTAAAAATATGATTTTTTTTATATTCAAGGTCATCCGGCTGAAATATTTAGTGGTAACTGATAAAAATGATCAGTGATAGGAGAGAAGACATTGTGATTAACGATACGTCAAAATAACGGACTCGTTGTTTAGGGTAAAATAGGTTAAATGATAACTTATTAACGACCAGTCTATGGTGACGGCGAGTAGGGATTTGAGTTTGGAATATTCAGAGTTTTTCACGGAACTTTATATAATTGCGTATAATGAACAAGTGTGATTAGATTACGGACACTGAAGTCATGGTGGGCCGTACCACAGCTAACGTACCACCAGTGAGAGACCTTCGGGTAGTGATTCAAAAATTGATGATAGACTGTATGAACTGAAATTGTTCAAATGTGAATACTATTCCCCTAGTGTCAGAATTAAAAATATACCATACGTCTTTGCGGGCCGAATATGTCGAACATTTAATAATAAAATATGGAATCTATTAATTTTTGCCAGTACCGATATGCTAAGATTTAGAACAATACACTCACTGTACCACTATGTTTATCTTGCTGAAATAAAAATATAGCTAGTTTTCCTTTGTTTTTTTTTATCTAGGATACTTAAATACTCGGAGGTGGACAATACATTAAACTTAAAAATATTGAAACAAACGAACGAGTTCAAAAGAAAGGTAAAAAGTATATTAAAATCATTCTATTCGTGTAGATTATAACTTAAACTAATATTTTATTTTTGGACTTTCACACAAATGTCAATATAAAGTACCTAGGTATCTGATAAAACTGCCGTTATCACAAATCGTTCAATTCAATGAAAATTTAAAACACTCAATATTATTGTGTACTGATAATGTCTACAATGGAAGATAATCTCTTTTTTATTCAAAAGAGATTATTATTTTTAACTTTTTACGGATCCAATAATTACGTAGGGACCTTCTCGGAATTTTTGATTAATATATTATTTATTTACTAGGTTAATTCCGATATTTCGATGTTATCATAAATATAATTTTAATTTATTTTCGTTCAACATTAAATATACGACAAAACGTACCAAATTCGAATAAAATCTCCTACCGAAGACAAACAGTAGGTACCTACTTATATATTCAATTTTATTTATATATAAGCAATAACCTATTTCAAGGTTCTCGACTTAAAATAAACAAAATTGTTTAATGACTCCAGAGAAAAATAATAAATAGTTTTCCCTGCGGTATTTGTTCGTTTGATGCTACGGATAATATTAAAATAAGCAATCGCGTGTACCTATTACCTAAATAAATAATAATAATAAAAAAAAATATATATATGGTTGAAATTAGGTCCGTCATCCTGGTACCCGCACTTTGGAATTTTAAACCGAACCAATACCATTACTAAGTAAGGAATTTTTAATTATTTCTAACTTTTTTTTATCGAATTCGTAACTCCTTTCAAAACTAGAATAGTGTCCCAGATAGCAAACATGTATTTTATCAATATTCCCTCCCGGCAATTTTTTTTTCTTTAGAGTTAGCTTTCACTAAAGAATATTATCTTCCTTATAAATAAGTAAACCCATGTCCAACACTGTATTGCCCAAATTTAATGTTTAACACTCCTCTGATATATTTTGAATTATATTATAATTAATTTGTATATAGGATCAAACAAATAATATTATATTCGACATATTTAAACAGTTGTTAATAATAATAATAATATATTATTAATTTTGATTTATAATTTCAATTATAATATCAAATATACTTACAATATTTTTAAGAAAAAAAATTAATTGATATTATATTAAATGATACAATTTATTTCATAGTATCCAAATGTGATAATTAAGATAACTAATTAATACAATTTTTCCTTTAAAATTAATGTCTTTTATTCTCAAGATATCTTAGTATGTTATAATAACAATTATTTAATTTGTGTATAATAGAAATTCAATATTCACTAGTCTATTATCATTTACTAATGCCATTTTATTTTTAATACCATAATAATGTTCCCAGGAGCCGTTGGATGTTTTTGCATACGCAGAGTAGTGTCTTGATTTAACGTAGTTATGTCATTATTTAAATTTCGGTATATTTGGAAAATTAGTCTAAAATTAATTTTTTTGGTTAATTTATCATAACTTTATAATTTATTATTTATAAAATAACTGAGGGTAGGTAGGTAGTTTAATTTTTAATAATTTGAAACTGAACCTCGCTTCATGTCAATTAATACAAATCGTGTAAATTAAAATTAAACAATGAATTAAAAAAAGGTCTATTTACATTTTACACACAACAGTAACGTGACAGTATTGTGACCGTTCAGGAATTCCCCCGGTGAGATAAAAAATATTTTTAAAGGAGAGATAAACTTGTTGTTCTCCCTCGCCCGGCCTGTGACCGTACCGTTGAAAAAATTGTTATCGCCGTCACCGTACTGCGGTTTTACGATTACTTACCAACGATATTTTTTATACCAATTTCACGACTGTGACTTTTGCACTGTGCGCGACGTTGGCGCGACGACAGTACACAATTTTTCATTTTTAATTTTGTGCACTGTTTGTTTTAAGATTTTACGATGAAAATCGAGAAACTTATTGAATTTGTGCTGAAATATACCGTATTAAATGATTTGTCACATAACACAACAGTCACATAACATACACAAATACACGGACACTACATTCATTGAATGCATTTTCAGCCATTCTAAAATATTCAAAAAACTTTGTTCTATCGTCCACCAAATCCATATACAGAGTATAAAATTCCCCTTCTATTGGTCTATTCTTCCATGCCGGATAGGCCCATAATCGTTTTTTCATTAGTTTTTCTTCTTCTTCTTCATCATCCAAAATCAAAGCAATCATTAATAATACATTTTCCGAAACCATAGCCATCTTCGCTACAATGACTACGCAATGACTACAATATTAGCTATATTAGGTATTGAGCGCAGGTCGTGTGAAACGACAACGAATGACGGATCAAACACTGACCGTTGTAAATAGAAATCACGACCGGTGGAATCCCGGACTGGTCAAGGCACTGTCACGTCACTGCTGTGTGTAAATAGACCTAAATGACACTGCATATGCTGAAACATTTTAATGTCGTTTTTATTCTAAACTAACTGTCAAAAAACAATTAACGCCTGATAGTATTCAGTTACATTTAGCCACGGCTTTAGATACTAAATCAAGTATCTAAATCAGTAATTTTAGTTAATAATCCAAAATACGATGCGAGTGCAAGGACAACGTCGTTTCAACACTCGGAAAATAATAAAGTGTTTTTCTCGGGTTTGGGAGGGGTTACAAATTCGGAAACATAGGTTACAAATTATTACAAATTCCTTACTAAATAATGGCGTAGGTTCGGTTTTAAAATTCCAAACTGCGGATGCCAGGATGACAGACCTGTTGAAATGTATTGGTTCAAGTGGTTTCATTTTCGTTGATATTTGGAATTTTTAATTTTAGATTCCGAGCGTAGCGAGGGAACTATTGGTTTTACTAAGATGTTTATTGCTTTTTTTTTCTTTGTTCTAGTGTGTTTACTCGTTTTTTCCTAGTAAAATTGCTTCGATTTTTACGTGTAGCAACTCTTATGAAAGCTCTAGTCTTCTAAATAGTACTTTAAATAAGTCATTTTTTAATTTTCGAAGCCACTTTTTAAATAAAAGCACTTAAGTGGGAAAAAACGTGGGTAAACGTACAATTTCACAATTTCATTATTTTATAAAAACACGGACGACGTTTTCTTCCAGAAAAAATAATTTAATCAAAAATCACAAGATACCTTTTTTATTGTTTTTTTGATTTACTTTTTCACGGAATTATCGACAAAACTTTTGAGCTTTTAAGGAATTTTAGTTTTTGAAAGTTTTTTTTACTGTAATTACATTATAAATACACGTAGGGACTTGAAACATGGTAATAATACTTTTATTGGACTTACCTAGACATGATAAATTTTCCAAAATCATCGGACGACTCTAACTTCCTAACTTTTCACCTAAAACAATTGCCGCTCCCATCCCCAGTATGAGTTCTTTTTTATTTTTGTTATTTCAAATAACTTAAATATTGAGGAAATGTTTGCGAAAATACAATTTTTAAATATCAGTTTAATTTTGTAACATAAAATGTATACGTACCTTATATACTATAGTCCTATACAATATGCATCTGTATTTTTTCGTAAACGAAACTATAGAAAAGTTCAGAATGTTTTCTATGCGTATTTTTACTATATCTGTATAATAAATAATATATGTATAAACATATTTTTTTTTTTTTTTGCGTTCCTGTGTAGAAGTTCAAATTGCACCCTCGGGACACTAACGCTGAAAGTATTGCTTAAAATGGATCCCTAGTGTCGTTTCACAAGAAAAATAAAACCGCAATCAAAAATATTGTTATGATATCTTAAAAATGGTCTATGGATAAACGTTAAAAAAAAAAAATACCTAAACTATCAAAAATAACGTAAAATTATTCCATAATAACGGGAGGGTATTTTTTATTCATTGTTATTATTTTACCAAAAGGTCAATTGCCGGAATAACGAAAAAAGTTTAAAACGATTTCAGATGACCATGATAATGTTGTCATACCGCGCACAAACAATATTATTTTATTTATTAGAAGTCCAAAGATTTTCGCATGAAAATAAAAATATGTAATTTTTAGGACAGTGATGCTATGTGTAAAAGCATGTTTAAAAAATGTCTGTGGAACGGCAAAGATTTCAATTGTTGCAGACATTTTCAACCGCACCGATTCGTCGTTGACAAATCTTGTTATTCTATAAACTCACTGCAAACGCTAAACAAGTGAGAACAAATTGTACGCGTGTACATTTTTTAACAATTTATGTATATTATTCAACAGGAGGAAAAAATTAGTCGTTAGTTATTTTTCGAAAACCGGAGAACTCGAAATGTACTTCAACGGACCAGTCGAGGTGAAGTAACATTGAAATAAATATTCAGTTTAACACGTAATGCACACTTTAGCGATAATTGATATAAGACGTAAGTCAAGTGTAAGGCTTTAGATTCGTCATAAATAACCGTCAGTTATTTATTAGGCACTCACTCATTTATAGTAAGTAGGTAAGTAGCAATTAAGTTGGTAGCAATACGGCAATATCTGTAATCACGTCAACATGGTCGTAGAGTCATTCTCAAACACTTGTGTGCGAGGGTTTATCGACTAAACAATTAATAATTTGAATTGGCGTATAAATATTTGTATACAAAATAAATTGGTACTTATTGTAATATGTGCAACGAGATTCTATTAGTGTGGATATATCGTATATAATAATACGCGTGTATGTATTATAATAATAGCTGTCCCGCCGCCCGGCGTAGTCGCCCGGGCCAAAAGAAAAAATAATATTAATTATAATGTGTATTTTTTTTTGTTCCGTTTGTTTAACATTTTTTATTTCGTCCAAACACCGAGGTATACCCATAAATCAACAAAAAATAATTAAATTTCCCTGTTAAAAATACCAATAACCCGCCCCACCCCGTTTATTAACGCTTAAATAAAGGGAGAAAATGTGGTCTATAAATTATTCCTGGTCTAGAACTGCATCAATGCAAATAGTTATTTCGTCTCAATCCGTTCAGTAATTTATGAAGTAGAAGTGGTGTCAAACGTGCATCCATCCGTCCAAACTAATTTTCGGATCGATATTATTGTTATTAGGGCACACAAGTTGTTCAGTTTAACGTGCTACGGTTATTCTTTTGATATTTTTCGTGTTTATGTATTTAACGGGTAGTGTTAACATTTGGATAAAAAATGCCTGTTCTAAATTATTGAACGATCGCCCACATTAAAATATAGTAGGTGGATATTATCATTCGCATTCTTATACCACGTCACTGGAAAAATCGTTTACACCTTTTAGCAGATTGCCTTCTTTAATCTTTATTATCAGTCTAATTTCTTTTAAAATGAATCCTTACAATATGCGAGGCAACGATAATATTTTCTATATCACACGATTCTTTAAAAATTGTTTTGTAATATTAAATTGTATAGCGACAACTATTATTTATACAATTTTGTTGTGTTCTTTTTCTTTTCATACTTTACCCGTGATTATATCCTGAATAGTATTATATAAATGTTTTCTTTATTAGAGTTTGTTTTTTTTTTTTTTTTTCATACTAATGTAATTATATGACTAGACTTTAAGATAACCTGTTGTTGTTTCGGTTTGTATTAATATTAGTAATTTTATTGCGCGATCATCATTGTTATCATTATAATGTACTTTAGATTATTGATCGTTAAATAAACAAATACATTATTCCGGGTAGTGATAACATTACCAAGTTAATTGTAGATAACTTTAAATGACAACAAAATGTATTATAAACACTCAGTACAGGCGCTGTATACAAACATTATAAGAGCTTTGTCAAGTCACTTGGCGCCCCGGGGCAAATATTGTTTAGTAAAAATGTACTCGAAATCGAACTGAACCGCAATCGTGTACACATAGCCCTAAGTCCGTAACCGAGCAGTATTTTTTTAAATTTTCAAACGAAAAAACCAGAATTAATAACGTTAGAATATTTGTGCTGGATATTTATTTAAATTCTATTGCATACATATTTAAATGCCTATAGTGTAGAATTGAATGTTTTGTAGGGAAGTAATTCATTTCGAGATACTATATTACATTTATAGATTTCACTGTTAGACCCTGTAGAAATACGTTTTGGCGAACTACAGAAACGGTACGTTACAGTCAAAAACCACGAGGAATCGGAAGTGTTGTATAAAACTCGACAAATCATCGAACACGTTTCGTTGGGGACTTTAGACCTTTCAAAACGTGGATGTGTACTGCGCGGCGAAATAATGTTATTTCATCACTCGGTTTACAGTAAATCGGCCTGTTTACTGGAATGTGCTTTGCGCGAGACCGAAATCTATGGTAAGATAATATTGCTATTAGTTATTGATAAAACTATCAATTTCGGTGCACCGCTTCGTCTTAATCACAGCAGTCGTAATGGCTCGTTATAAGTAAATGGGATACTCTGTTTCTCGTATACATGTAGTTTCTTATTAGTCGCCACAAGAATAGTGGCGGGGGAGGATTAAAGTGATTATTATTTATAGAATTCAAATTATGTTATTTGGAAACGACATTGACATTGTACATTTAATCTAAGCATAATTTTAAAACATCTCCATTATGTATATTTCATGTTAAAAAACCATAATGTTCATTTTAAGATAATACGGTAAGTCGAATACGCATTGCCAAAAACATCGAATTATTTATATTATTATAACTGATACAATTCACGATGTACATGATAAAATAATAAAATAATAATTGAAATATATAAATGTGAAATATGGGATAATATTACTAGGGATATTGATAACGTAGGATATTTGTATTGGGGACAATTTAACGGAGAATATATTGAAAAAATAAATACTTCATTTAATATGTACTCAAGTGATTAGGGCGAGGAAAATTATTTGTACACATATTGTGTAATAGTTAACTACGGATGTGCAGTATACGATAGATAAACATATTGTTATTATACCGACATTTACAAGTTTCAAACAGATATTTACCGAAGGTTTATTTTGAAAGTAACCTAATTGCTACTGAAATAATAATATTACCCGCCTTCAAAACGAATACTTTGGTAAAACCACGACCAAACTAAGAGCAATATAAATAGAAACGTGTTTAGAAGGAATTAATTTTTATAAATACGTATATTATGGTAGTATCTATCGAACATCATAATCAGGTACAGATTATAATTGAGATACTGCGTGTAACTAAGAAGCTAATCGTTTTACTCAGAAGTGTTTTGTTCTCGAAAAACAATTCTTCGGATGGTAAAAAAGCTCTAAATTGTTAACTTCGTACCTTAAACAATGCGGATTTTACACTAATTAGTACATATTATTATTATTTGTTCTATTTCGTGAGTGAAATACGTATACTGTTCCGTTCCTACCATAAATTAAAAAGATCACAATTAGTCGGCTTTATTGATGTACAGTAGTTAATCTATGGATTTAAAAATAATGAAACGCGTTTAAAAAAAAAAATATTATTCATCGAACATAATTGTATTTGAATAGGTACCTAATTGTTGAAATAATAATTAACATTCGGCAGTATTAATTTGTGAAATATAATGAATATTATTCCATTGTTACCCTGCACCCATCAAATAGCACCGAATTTTCAGGCCACCACTAGGGATGATGTTAAATTACCCCAAAAATCATTTAAAGAATATTCTTCAAATTGGAGAATTGTTGGTATTTTTTTTTCTGTCCGGTTCCTATCGATGTATTTTCAATAGAGCATATTCCTTTTTGAGATTCTGAGCAGAGCGAGGAATTTTTTGGGATTTATATCGATGTTTATTTTTTTTTTACGTGAACACTTTTTCTACCAGAAAGCTTACTCCGATTATCAAGTATAACACCTTTTCTGAAAGAAAATGTTCTCTGGATGGTACTTTAGAGTGGTCATTTTTTGAAAATTTCATTAATATTCGAGGTAATGAGGGAAACCTGGTTCTTTAGGTTAAAAAAGATTGAAAGATTAAAAATAAGGTTGTCATTAGTAATCGCTTTTATTTATTTTTCGTTACTATTAAGTTTTTATTATTTTAATGTTTTTTAAACAATCATTGTTGTCATGGAAACGCACATTTTTGTAATAATTTTACCATAATATGACATATATATATATATATATATATACACACATTGTTGACAAATCGACACTATCAACTAAACTCTATTCAGAATCAGTTTATCGTTAGCAATAGTTTATCGTTGCTTACGAATATACACTGAATTCCCGTTCGTAGTCTACATTCCCAACTTCCCACCGACACCAGCGGCTGCACCCACGTGCGACGTATGTTCGTCCATTTTTTTTTTCTTGGTTACACGTTTCACTATTAGTCGCGTACCCACATCGCCAATATTCGTACGGTTCGTGACGAGTAAGACGCGTTGCAAAACGTTAAAATACCGGTCGCCTCCATATCCGCGTGACGGATATCAACGGCCGCGGCGAATCACACAATCGCATAATATCTTAGACATACTTTTATTTCGCAATAACATCAAGACTGTTCCTCTCCGGTTAATAATCTCTACGAGAACGTAATAATAATACTATCGTCGCGTCGTCGCGTCACCGGCCGCTAGACCCGCGGAGGAGACCCGCAGTTAATACCTGCCCGTCCAAACCCGTTGAAATATTGATAAGTTTATGATATTCGCGCGGTAATCGCGGCATCGGTCGCAATTATTACATTAGGTAACGTTCTCCGCAATGCCGCGCCGCGATAAATCGTTTTTAATAAAACATAATATTATTAGGTCGGCGTCGGCGGGTTTAGCGGCCGTCGGACAGTGCGGCGGGCGGTTATTGCGCGCCGACCTCGCCGCCGTCGTCGCGGGTCCGAATCACGGTCGCCGACGACGATTTCTTTACTGCGGGACCGGCGACCGACCGCCTGGGGAAATCACTGCGCGCCCGCCGCCCGCGTACGTGTCCGTTCGCCGCGCCGCCGTCGCCGTGATCCCGAACTTCTTCGGTCGGTCGGCCCGTTCGGTTAGGCCGGATGCACGGTTTAAATAATAACGATAACAATAATAACAATAATAATATAATCCCAATCAGCCGGTACAACCGCTACGTAATAATATGACTACGTGACCGCCGGACGAGATAGCCGAGTCGGGGGACCGGGCGATAGTAGTGCGAGGAACAAAAAAAAAAGACGCGACATACTTCGCGGGCAACTGTGCGTTGGTGGGCGGTCGTTCAACCACCGCTAACGATTCTGAGCGGAGTTCGGTTAATACAGCGTTTTCAACAATATAATGATACAATGCGTCATATTACGGTAAAATAATTTACATACGCGTTAAACATTTGCTTGAATAATATTTTTTTAGTATTGTACATATTTCCCTACGTTTTTTTCTTATTTATTATGAAAACAGCCGGACAAATCAAAAAGTTACTTCTTTAGAATGCCACTCCGGTCAGATTTCCCTTCTGAAAAAGTGCTGTACTTGAAAATTAGAGCAAAATAACTGGCAGAAAATTGGTTTACTAAAAATAAAAATAAAAATAATTGCAAAACCAATACATTCATCGTTCTACTCAAGTTTAAAATTGTTCTTGGAGAGGCACATTAAGATAGTTATCTTGATTTTTTCTGCTTGTTTATAATAAATGGGAAAAAACGTAGAAAAAACGAGAAAATGTATGAAATGTAAAATGTTTAAATCGTAAGTATTAAGGCCTTTCAAAACATGTATAATCAAACTCCAGTCAGAGTCGTTTTTCGTTAGCGATGATTAATAGTTGCGTGCACATATACATTTAATTTCCAGTCCACCTTCCTAACTACTCATCAACAGAAGTGGCCCACTCATTGTGCAAAGTATCTTCATATCTTTTTTTTCTATTTATTAACAATTTTTTCATCAAAAATCTTACTCTGATTTTTGAGTGTATAGTATGTTTCCCTAAAAAAAACTTTTTTTAAGCCGGTACACTGAGGAAGTTTTTTTTATTATTATTTTCATGTAGTTTTCTTTATGATTGGGAACAAATGTAAGGAAACCGGGAACGTTAATGATTTAACAATTCTATTATAAAAAAATTTGCTATTCTGTTTAATGAAAAATAATCATAGAGAGTCGACATTTTCCCAGAGTACTTATGCATCGACCTTTTCTTGACGCGGTAAAAATATTCTAGCGATATTTCATCTATTTATAGGTATTTTTTATGAGTTGTTTTAGTTTTTATTAGGTGAATTAATGTTATGTGGATGTAATTATTGTTTCGACAGAAATTCTTGAACATTTTACACACGATTTATCATAAGTTCTATTTAATGACAAACAAAATAGTTGAGCGTAATGGAGTAGTTTTTTTTATAAGAGTTTAAGTTCATATAACAGCGTTTCAACATTTTTGTTCGTTACATCCACCAGCATTTTTAAAATATTTATTATAATTATTTTTTAATTCGATTGTGTTTTGCTGATTGAGAATATAATTCAAATATTTGAGTACCTATACCATCAAGCAGGGTTTTTTGTTCCAAGACCTTCTTTACTATAATAATATTGGCTCATTGTTCCATATTTTCAAAAAAAAAAAAATAAAAAAATATACCTAATCATAAAATTTCTATTAATTAAAACCTTTCTATCCCGTCCGACCGAAAATATTACAGGATATTAATTTTCGTTGCATAATGGATGTGATCAAGGATTGTAATATCGTCGTACTATTATTATTATTATAATTAGGTACGGGGAGAAAAAATCGCCTGGTGCGTAAAAAAATAACCATAGTAAACCATTAACAGCATACGAAAACAAAGATAATTACAGTATATATAACTGAAAAAAAAAAATACACCATTATGTTTAAAAAGCGATAATATTTTATAATGGCCATTAAGAAAGAGTGACGAAAGAATAAAACTTTGAGTTTTAGAGAGAAAAATACTACGAACGATTTTTGAACCAGTGAAAAATACACCAAGTAGGGTGTGAAAAATAAGGAAAAATAATGATATAGAAACACTTTTCCAAAAATCTAATGTACGCTGGTCACGATTATGAGTAAAAAGCTTACAGTAGACTGGACACGCGTGGCTCAGTCAAAATCCACTCATTGCTCTTGAAGAAAATCCTACCGGGAAAAAACCACTTGGATGACCGCGTATGAGATGGGAGAAAGTAGTAAGGAAAGATGTGTACGCATTAGGATGAGGAAGATTACACTGTAAGACACAAGCAGCGGATAAGAAAATCTGGAAGTAAGGTTTTATGACCTTGCGATGATCCTACCGGCCGATTGTCAAAGAAATAAAAATATATGTATTCATTTTATTAAGGTCGATCTAATGTTTTAAATGCAAAAAAAAGTTTAAAAAATTAAACATTTGTATTATTATTTTTATAGCATACACACGTAATAATTATTTATTAATTAGTTTTACAGTTTCGTCCTGTAATCCTCTAGTAAAGTAAATAATAGATAGATTTGTAGTTGCTATTAAAATATTAATTTACAGTGAAAAACGATACGCTGTGCAATTGTCCTTCAACGTGTACGGAAATGGAAATAAATACCGTCTGGAACGGAATCAAAAGGTAAATCAGTCAAAATAATACAAATTATACGAACTACCGTAAAAATAATTAGAGTTTCTAGTGCTACAAACGCAAAAAACAATATCACGATAATTAGGTGGTTTTTTTTCCCGGTAGGATTTTTAGGTTTGGTCTTAATTTGAATAATATTAAACTTATGTAAATAAAATTAAACTTTATGTAAAAAATAATAATAATAATAATAATAATAATAAATAAAATTTAAGACCACTGTAGTGTAATAGATCGTTTTCTCGTGATGTTCCTCCGAATTAAAAATCCCATAAACAATTACTTATTTATTTCTGTTATACTTATCTCTGCTACCCTACAAACCGTTTGACAATCTCTCGCGAAAATCTGTAAACTTAATAGAGATACATCACTGGAAATAAAACGATTATTTTTTTTTGTTCGTGTATACACTCGTATATACCCATATTTTAATGTAATATATTATTACACTGACAGTGTGATACTGTTCAATTTTTATTTTTTATTCAATTCCGTATTACTCGTGTATTATATATTACGTATTTAAAATTAACGGGATAAAATCGATTACTAAATAAAGGACGGTAATTTAAACACCACGTCGATTGAAGCGGAAAGAAGGCATTTTTAAAATACCTTTTTCGGCCTTTTTTCGGGAGAACTGTTGTTATCAAATCCAGTATAAATAATATGTTAATTTTTTCGAATTATATTATATATGTCGAAAAATTCGCATTAATTAATGTTTAGCAATACGCTCAAATAAATCGTATCACACAACTCGGTTAATTCACATTCGCATAGTATTATAATATACGAATGTGATCGTATACACAATTAAATATAATTCAATAGTACATACGTAGAATATTATACTAAGCATGTAAACTTTGCGTTGATTATTTATAGATCACGGGATAATACTACCAAAGGTATCGTTACTATGGCAAATCCAGCGACAGAGCGACTGATCATGAAAGCCGGAAAAGATTACATCGATTTGATAGGTAAAATCCTTGAAAAATTTATAGTTCCGCGGTCCTTTTACATAATAAACCCCTTGTATTACTGTATCAGTGCAGTCGATATTGAACTAAAAAACGAAAAGAAAAACATCAACGAACATCCTTTTCAAATACTGAAATTTCAATTATCCTTCAAAAAACCGACAAGAATCGGTATTTTAAGATAACATGATAAAATGATTTTGCAAAAAAAAATGTTCGTTTACCACAACAGGACACGTTTTTCCCAGATTTCGAGAGGCTATAAATTTAAATCGCTGATACCTTGGTTCTTTTCAAAATGTAAAATTATTGATATATGCGTGAAATTATTCAAAACAGATGTACGAGAACTCCCCAAACGGTTTTGAATTTAAGGTCCTCGTTCACCTAATAATAATGGTCGAATGCACCCCATGTCTACGAATATTCCGAAATACAAATAGTGTGTCCATAGCATTAATGTTGAATATCATACTTATTATAACTGATTTGTATTTGAACGTTTTGTGATTTCAGTTATATTTGCTTGTTTCATGCAGTTGTTTGCCGGAATCAATCTGTTGGACATTCCGAAATTTATATTCGCTAAACACAAGAACAAGTCTAACAATTCAAAATTTTGAATATCAATTTATATTGAACGTGTTATAACAATATTATAATAGATCACTTAGATTAAATCTTAAACATGTTTTGAAATTCCGTCAATTTATTTTAATAAATTCAATATTTTAAAATAATTAAAATGTTAACGCCGTACGTATAAAAAAAAAAAAAACAAACTTTTTTTATGGTGAAAATTTGATTTCGTAACAAAATTTTTTTAATATTATCGGTCGGTATATAAATATTTTCGCTGTATTTTCTAGACATAAATCTGGAGTGATACGACTTTCCGTTAGCGTAAACGAATAATTTCGGATTGAAGACTTGTAATATATTCGGTATCGTCAAAAATTCCTTCCACTTGCTTTGTCCGCCTGTAAATTATTAATTAGATTAGAATAGATAAATATTGTATAAAAAAAAAAAAAAAGCACAATACTGAGAATTCATGACCCGGATTTAACCAGTATTTCCATAATCGAATTTCGTAATATTTTTTCGATGTGGAATTTGTATAACCTGTTGAATTTGCACTACGTTATAGTTTTTACCAGACAATAAAAAAACTGGAAAAACTTTTTCCACTTCCCCTTTCCTAGTAGTATAGATAATATGAGATTGATTTTTTCGAATAATTTTTTAACTATTTTCCAAATTTATACAACACTCTTTCAGAGTCCAAATTACAGTTTTTGCACCCATACATTTTCTCAGCACTAGAATATTTTAATTTTAAATAATTTTTAATAAAAAAAATAGTTTAATTTTAATTAAAAATTGGGATCCAATTTAAACTGTTAATAGCTCCGATGTCATTTATTGTCAAGTGTGCATTCTCATGTGTTTAATCGTTTAAAACGTTTGTTCGTGTGTCTTCGTCAAAAACAGTTCATTAGTGTGCATGCACGGAACACTTCAATATAATTGTACAACTATCTATGCACTGGCTGAATACTACAGATCCAGCCCCCTTATTATGGGCCAATAAAATACAACCAGAGTGCAGAACCCTTGGAATTTAAATGTAAATTAAATAATATCACACCGGTTGACCACGACGTTCCACGGAAATCTATAAATAACAATGGAGATTTATATGCTAAACTCCCAGTGTCTGCTGTTAATGAATCGTCAATTCCAGCGATTATATCCACGTCTCCCGGTCTTAATTTATGTTCGCTCGTCGGCCGCGTTGAAGATCTCGTACCGTTTGTATTGCAAAAAAACTCTGTCGAATCTGACTAGAAACCCGTATCTGGGTTTTCTTTAGTTTGTGAACATTTACAACATATAAAACATCATAAAATTCAGCACAGGTACAAAAATTGGGAAAAAACGTGGAAAAATCGAATTTTTCAAAAATTAAAAATCCGGATTTCCGGAACCCGAAGTCCAAAATAAGAATTTTAAATCTTAAATTTGAAATCTGGGTTTTCAGACTTTTTAATCCGGATTTATTATACATCACTAATAAATAAACGTAAAATAAACTTCGAGACAATTATAATTGGAACGCTCAGAAGGAAAAAAATGTCAGTATGTGTCTTTTAAATGTTAGCAATTAAAGAAAAAAAATATGTGGGAATTTTGAATAGTAATGGATACATACAATTATAATTAATACCCGTAAACGACAATAGCATTGTTGCATTGTGTATTGTTTTGCACACGTTAATAATATATCGTTACAAAACCGTGTTCGCCACTTCGACCAGACAATGTTGCCGTACAAAGACACACGGAGAAAAATCGTCATATTAATAGTGTTTTGCACCCATCTTTGCGGAACGATCGTCGGGCCGTCATTTCCGACGGTGGTGTGACGGAAGCCGAACAACCTTCTCGTGCCGGTTTTACTGTCGGCACGGTCGAGGCTCGTCGTTTCGGTACAAACTACGGTAACGCGTTGTTACGTCGGTGTTGCAAAAATAATAAAGGAACCGAAACGGTGACAACGAATACACGGAACTAAAAATGTTATGACTGGCGATTCCCGGTAGTTCTGCCGGTGTCCAAAGAACGGCGTGAAATGTCCGTACGGTGTCTATTTTTACACGACCCGGTCAGTATCGCATAACAACGTAACACGTCATTGTATTTTACGGCAAGTTCAAGTCGACGTTACGGTTCGCGGTCGATCTCAAGGAGACAAGGCCGTCATTTTGTATTTACATGATTTATTATCCACTCTAACTACCCATCATTATCGTTTTATTAGAATAATTTTTCATGCGCAAATTGCAATATTACTGCATTGAACCTATTGTTGTATACATTACAGGATACGTTGTTTATTAATTATTCGTTGAAAAGTGGAAATCGCAATAAGGTAATTTTTTTCGTTTTAAGAAATTAATTTACGATGAAGGCATACATTGTGCACGGTCTCCGTAAATGTTTTGATATTTCTTTGGATATACATTATGCGTGTATGATATAAATCTGCCGGTATACGATGAGCTAGTGAATATATTTTTTAGTGGTTTTGTTGTTTTCGATATGTGGTAGCTCACCGTTCATAATTTCGGTTTTCGTATTTTTATTAAGATTAGGTGTTCTTTTTCAAAATTAGTGTTATTGCATATGATGTATGGCATGTTATTGATTATTTTTACTGGAATATAAGGTGAATGCGAACATCCAGTATTTGCATTTGATCTATTTAAACATTTTTTTTTTGATCGGTATTTCGATTTTTAGAAGAACAAGTATCGATGGTGTCGATCTCTTTCGTTACACATTAATTTCAGTTTGCAGTCTATACTTATATGATCATTTTTATGACAGTATTCACACAGATTATTAGTTTCGAGCACGCGTGAATTATATTTTGGACTGCTTGGATTATTGTTATAATTTTGTCGGAAATTATTAGGGCTGTTATTGAAATTGTTCATATTTATTGGCGGTGGACCACTACGACTGATATCGAACTGGTTATCATAAACATTGTTCTGTTGAACACGGTTATTATGATAACTATTAAATAGGTGATTGAAATTGTAACGATTTCTATGGTCCGTGTATTGGAAATTATTATTATTATTATTATTAGGCTGGAAATTATTTGGTCTCTTTGAATATTTACATGACGATTGTAGTTGTTAACATTTATATTTTTTATAACTTCTTTTAAGTTCGAAATAATTTCATTATTTGTTTTTCTGTCTTATTTTCATTTATTATATTAACATGGTCTTTAGTTATTTGGGCTTCAATTTTATCGGGAGAATGCGGATATGTATCATTTACAGATTCGTGTTCGTCTATGAATATAACATAATAGCGGATATTAAGTATTATGCGACGGAAGGTCAATGGGTCGCTTCATATATTGATACTATATAGTATAAATTTTATTTTAGTTGAATAGTTTCTTAGTGTTTATTGCAACGAACACCTAGTTAAGCGCAGCTTTTTGTAGAATAAAAATATAATTTATAAAATTGGGTAGGGAAAAGAGGGAAGATGGAAAGGTGAGAAGGGAGAAGAAGCAGAGAAGAAAAGGAGAGAGTAGAGTAGATTATGGTAAAGAGTATGGATGGGTAAAGGGGTTATACAGGGGTGATAGGTATAAGTATATTCATATTTGTATTTATGATGTATGACGCGAGCGCTTTCGGACCGTCTCACGGAGGTGAATGAGTTAGACGTCGGCACTAAGACCACGTCCGTTCTGCATTCGCAACCGGTCAACAAGATATGTATAGTCGTCTATGACCGGAATATTATATATACGTTTTTGAAGAAATAAACACGGTCTATGGTAAAACAATAGTGACAACAAGCACAATTACCAGGTATGTAGGAAAGGGAGAACCAAATACAGCCTTCGGTATCTGCAACTACTGTATAGGTTTGGAAGAAAAAGTATGGTTGGAGTGAGTGAGCGAAAAATGTTTGCTTCTGCTGGGTGAACCCGGAGAAGTAATTCAATTAGTAATGCGTATGACGTATTTAAGCCTTCCGCGGTATCCCACACCGACGACTCCCATTTCGCCACGGTAGCTACGCGGGTGCTTCTTTATGAGCGGCGCGCGTAATTAATATTTTGAATTGATATGTACCGTATTAAGATGGCAACACTGTTTAAGATATGTTTGTGATGGAACTGGTAATTGTGCTGTGTAACCATGATCGTTTATTATGCAAGTATTAAATATTCAATGTATTACATAAGAAAGTGTTTAAAGTATTCGGGGAATTTTTCGTCTTTATGGTTATTTTTCACTGAATAACAACAAAAAATCAAAATTGATTATAACAGAAATCGTTATTATGTAAATATTACGATTTTCTCGACTTTTATCTTTTATCAGGATTTTCCCTGAGATTATAAATACTATAAATAAAATAAAATAAAATGACCTCCTCATTACTCCAAATAACCAATATTTTCTATTAGAAACCATCATACTAAAATATGTTTAAAAAAACACTCACCATACAGTGGCGTAACTAGAACTTCTAACGATCGTGGCAAAATATTGTATTAAGGTCCTAAAGGCCATATCGTTAAGTAAATAAGAAACCTAACCACTGTTACCATAGTACAATCTAAAACAAACATTTATTTATAAGGAACAACTTAGCGTATACAGTAAATGCTTACATTTTTTTTTTTTTTCGTAAATTAATAAACACTTAACTGTGTTATAAGTATTAAACACTATTTTAAAGGGGCGTGGACGCAAAGTCCCCGCGGGTTTTTTGAGTGAAATAATTGCAAAAGACTTAATTTATTTTTTTTTTAAGCCTCATGGTCCCTCTTCTTTTAGTTTTCTTATTCGAGTACTCGTAGGCAGGATAATATTCTTTTGAAAAATGTATCTGGCTATATTATAATAAAAATGTAGTAATGTAATATTATGCGCACACGACATGAAATTATCCATGTCCAATTATTTATCGTTTATATTACCACAAAAGTGTAACTAAAAGATTCAAATACGGTATTTTCTAAAATGTAAATAATTTAGTAAACATAACGAAGCGTTCGCTATTCAAGAGGCATATATATAATATTATCTACAAGCAAAATAATTTAAAATGTATCAAATATGGTAAAATCCACGCCATCTGCTGCGGCCTTTTGAGGACACTGCCACCTCAGTCATAC